ATAATAATAAGAATTAAACTCACCCTTTTTTTCATAAACCTAAAATCATTTTATTAATCCAATTAATAAAACCCTTAAAAAAATTAATCAAATTAACAAAAATTTTATATTATCAATTAAAACTTGATTTTTGTGAAAATTATTTCATAAGTAAAATTTTAATTATTGCAAATTAATTTGAAAAAGAAAAATTTTAAATTATTCAAAAAATAAATTCAAACAAAGCTTGAGGATACCTCTAATATTAAAAAAAATGTACAACTTAATTGTCACAGTCCCTAATTATAATCTTTAATTTCCCTTTCCTTTAAAAATGGATTTTGGATTTGGAATAGGTCATGTTGACCTTTAATTCTCACTTTTACCCACCTTATTGTAGCTTGATCCCACCTAGGATCCCTTGTGGTTAAGGGCATAATTGGTTCACAATAATAAGAATTAACCTCACCTTTTCTTTTCTTTTTTTTTCATAAACTTAAAATCATTTTATTAATCCAATAATAAAAAAGTATATTATTAATTAAATTTGATTTTTATAAAAATAATTTCATAAGTAAAATTTTAAATGTCATGGGTTAATTTGAAAAAGAAAATTTATATTATTCAAAAAAATTCAAACAAAGCATGAAAACACCTCTTATATTAAAAAAAAAATGTACAACTTAATTGTCATAGTCCCTAATTATAATCCTTAATTTCCCTTTCTTTTAAAAATGGGCTTTGGCCTTAATCTTCAATTATCATAATCCATTGACCTTAAAACCAAAAATAATTAAAATATCATCTAACTTTAGCTCAAAATTTTAATCTACCATTTGACCCTAAAATAGAAAAATAATTAAAAAATCAACTAACTTAATCAACCATTGGCTAGACATCAGACAAGTGGATAGTGCCATTAAGCATGAGCCATGATGCTCATGATTAATGGTAAATTTACCAATAGCGATAGGAAGAGCAAATAAATATCAACAATAGCAAAGTTTTGGATATTTAATAAATTTAAAATTTATTCTTTATTTTATTTTTTATTTTTAAATTGTCTTTTTTTTTTACAAAAAAAATCGAGAAAAAAAGCAAGAGACCCCTAATTTATCATTATCTACCTTTTTAATATGGTTGTTATATATTAGTGTTAATGTATTATTATAAAATTTAATATATGGTTTTCAATTTTATTAAAATATTTCTATATGAGGATAATAAAGAGCATATTCACATTATTGGGCTCCAATTTCAACATACACCATGTCGACTTCCCAAATTTTTTTTCTTGAAAAAAAAATTATATCCAAAAAGAAATGTACATGGGGCATTTACGTTGCATAACGCCTTAATAAAAGATTTACATTTGGATTGTCACCTTATCTGAAGTAGCAGAGGTAAAATGTGATTTTAATAAGAGATATAATCTTATTCATAATTGATAGAGAATTCGACATTTTATTTAATAAAAAAGGGATGTGTAAATTTTGAGATGAGCATAATTTTAAATTTTTTATCAGATATGAAAATGGATAATATAGTATTTTTTTTATTTCTATATCTTATATATTTATATATATTTAGTAAATAGATTTTTATTAAATAATATAAAATTTTATTATAGATTAATTAGAACTAATATATTTCTATTTAAAAATACATATTAATAAAAAATTACATAAATGTGAAAAATCAAAATAAAAAAGCAAAATAATAAAATTTAGTTTTTAGTTTTTAAAAAAAGTATGGGTTTAAAAATTACCTATAATTATTAAATATCCGTGAAAATGATGACAGAGATAAATTTAAAATATTGTTTGGATATGGGTTTTGGATAAATATAATATAAAAATTTTAAAATAAAAATTAGAAATAATATACCTATCTCATATTTTACCTATGAACATTTCTAATTTTAATGATATTTTCTCTTATTCAAAAAAAAAAAAAAAAAAACTTCTTTGATTTTTTCTTTTATTTAAAAAAAAGACTCAGAACTCATTTAAAAACAAAAAACATATACTTACTATTGAACAAATGCTCAGATATATATGTCAAATTTTCTTGATTTTAACCCAAGCATAATCTTAATTATTATGAAAATTGGAGAACATTTTAAATATAAATGATATATATAATTCAAATTTTAGTTGAATTGATTTTTCAATCATTCAAAAATGTTGACATTAAATAAAATGAAGTTTAAATTTTAATACTTGCAATTACTTATCATATTTATAGATTATAATCTCCTTTTTAAGTTTGTGATTTAACAAAATTAATGAAACAAATAATATGTGAGCTCTAAAAAAAACTTGGAATTAAATTTTTAGAGCCAATTCATCATGAGAAAAAAATTGTTGTGAGAGCTAGTTGCCACATTTTATTTCTCCTTTTCTCTCCATTTAGGAGAAACAAGCAATCATAAATTACTATTTTAATTTTTTATTTTATAAACTTTTGCACAATCTTGATACCTAATTTTCAAGACTAATTGTGGTAGTCTTGCTTGAAGAAGCAAAATGTGGAACACACTAGTAATCATGGCAATAAAAATTATTTGAATTGAATAATTCTATTACTACATTCATAAATCATTATTGCTTTTTTTTTATACATGATTTTTTAAATTATTTTTAAACCCCCCATTGCAAAATTAGTTTGCACTCTTTCTTTCACATTAAGTTTTTTTATTTTTAATAAAAATTATCTTAAAAAGTATGAACACATAATAATACAAGGTAATATGATTTTATCTCTTAGACCGCATTTGCAAGCATGGTTAAAAATATTTTCATCACGTTAGAGTACCGATTTTTCCTATAATGCTTTCAAAATGGACTCTAAATTTCTTTGTTTAAATATGAAACACCGATATTAGCATTTTGATGTATGATTGTCTTGAAGTTGAAAGCTATAGCAAATAAAAAAAATTTATTAAAAACAAATTTTAAATTGTTTTAAGTATATAAAAACGAATTTCTTTTAATAGAAGTAAAATAGCTTCAAGAAAATTTAGAAAAAGGAAATCACATTCCAATACTACTAAAATCATGTTATGTATTTATGCATGTATGTAGTAAAGTAAAAGCAAAGGTTAATAAAAAAAGGGGGGAATTTAGGGGGAAAATTGCACTTTACAATTCTTGTCAAAATTTGCCTAAACTTTATAAAGGTAAGATCAAACCTTCTCTAAATTCAAAGGAAAAATGTCCCCTATGTTTTATTATACACACACACACACATATATATATATATATATACTTTATCGCCATTAAATCGATGCTAACGGTCATATATGATGATATATGACCATTAAAGATTCAAATATCAATATATATTGTCAATAAAATATCGGTTTAATGGTAATAAGGAGGTATTAGAATTACAAGTTTTAGGTTTAAGTTTGACTGTGTATGAATTTAAATGTTTTAGTTGTTAATTAATTATTTAGTTAATTATATAAATATAATATTTTTTTTTATTTAACCAAAGGAAAATTTTAAATAAAGCAAAGAAATGACTACAAATATCCAACTACAAATAAAAATACAAAAGAGCATAGGATGTATAAGCCTAAATGATAGTGTATAAACACCAAAATACTCAAGATCCCAATTAAACACTGAAAAAAAAGTCTGAATTACTTTTCTCATCATGGGTTTTTTTTTTTTTTTTTTCATAAGTTTTCTAATTACAATATCTTCCTTCAAAGGGAAAACTTAAGCTTTCCACATATTCTCAAAGTCCTGACAACTTATAATATAGAGCTTTTATTTTTTAAATGTCATTGTCAGAAATACATATATCATTTTAAGAGATTACTTAATAAATTAATACTTGACTATAATTATAACTTTAAAAAATTCAATATATATTATTTTTTATTTTATTCTTCAAAAAAAAAATTTAAAACTCAAAAGCTTTTGCATACTATAAATTTTTAGGGCAATAAATCAAGATTTAATTATTCATTATATAAAAAAAATCCATTTCCTTGGATTTATAAAAGAAATTTGATAATTATTTTAATAATTTTATAATTTAATTGCCTTTGGAATAAGGGGATCCTAGAGTGCGAACAATTTTAGTGAAGAAAAACAAAAGGAATTTAAATAAAATGAAGAATCAAACATCCAAAAAGAAAAAGGTAGAGAAATTAAAAAAAAAAAAAAAAGAAGCTAAAATATTGAGAAATAGAACTTTGTTTGTCATTTAAAATTATGACAATAATGTTTTAGCTTGGCCCAAACCATTATTATATTATATTATTATTATTATTATTAATTATTTGAAGATTAACCCTTAAGATTCTTTGAAACTTGTTTTTAAATCCCTCAATTTAATTTAAAAAATTTTAAAAACTACCTACCACTTTATATAAATCTTCAAATATTGTATGAATTGGGTGAAAGAAAAATCAAGTTTTATCTTTTGAATTCCATACTAATTGATGGAAAAACCAAACCATAAATTTACATGACTTACAAAAATTGCAAAATCAATAACCAAAATGTAAATAAAAACAATTTTAACATATCTTAAAGAATTGTTTTCTCAAATTTTAAGTTTCTATAATTTAAACAAATTTTCAATTATGCAACAAAATAAAATTACTTTTATTATAATTTCAGCATAGCGTGATATTTAATATTTTAAATTAAAATATATAAAATTTTAAGTATGAATTAGATTTGAGAATTCGTGTACTTATTTTGTATTAAATATATTTAAAATATAAAAATTATGTGTTGTAACTCATATCGACGTTTTAAATATGAAGTATAATTTTTAATTTTTTTAAATTTATATATAATTTTTATTAAAATTTAAATTATATTATTTTTATATGTTTATATTATTTTAACATTTTATCATCCTGATAAATTTAAAATTATTGGATCTAATATAAACAATAAATTTACTACCAACGAAAGAATTAAAATACCAAGGACATTCATGTCATTTAGATTGTAATGTTATTTAATAAATAAAATTTAAACAACTAAAAAATAGAAAATAGAAAAAAAATGATAAATTAAAAAAAAGGATGGTTTGTGGGATGGGGGTAAGAGAAGGTAGAGAAATCAAGAAAAGCCATTTCAGCCGGAGAAAAATCAAAACCCTCTCTTTCTTCTTCTTTCTTTTATTCTTTTCCATTTCCTTTGTTTGGGTTTTTGATCGCTGATTCAACCTTATTGTGTTTTAAATTTCATAAATAGATTCGTTTTGAGTGGGTTGATTTGCTTAGTTTACTTCTTTTTTGTTTGTAATCTTTTCATCAACCCCTTTGTTTTGTTTCAATAATTGTTGCTATTCTTTCAATCTTTGGAGTTTTACATCTGATTTTGCATAAACTTTTTGAGGAATCTGGGTGAATCTAAAGTTTAATTTGTTTTCCGATGAGGAGAGGGAGAGTTGCCGCCGCTGCCGCCGCCGTGGATACGAAACCGGCACTGGAACCTAACGGATCTATAAAAGAACCTAGATACAGAGGGGTTAGAAAGAGACCATGGGGAAGATTCGCAGCCGAGATCAGAGACCCATGGAAAAAGACCAGGGTTTGGCTCGGGACCTTTGACTCCGCCGAAGAAGCGGCTGGAGCCTACGACGCAGCGGCAAGGTCATTCCGTGGATCCAAAGCGAAAACAAATTTTCCCATCGATTCCTCGAACATCGCTGCTTTTCCTTTCGAAACACGTCATCACAACAAGGAAGGCTTCGTCGACCGCCGCCGCATATATCCGATGGGCGGCGATTTTCAAGACCCGGAAGTGAATCCGCAAAGACCCACGAGGAGTGGCATGAGTAGCACGGTGGAGTCGTTTAGTGGGCCGAGACCAGCCCAACTGCCGCAAAAATCGGCGGATTATGCGGTGGTTTCGACAAGGAAGTATCATCCGAGGACGCCACCGGTGGTGCCGGAGGATTGTCATAGTGACTGTGATTCGTCGTCATCGGTTGTTGATGATGGGGATATCGCGTCGTCTTCGTGTCGGAAAACGTTGCCGTTTGATCTCAATTTTCCACCGTTGGATGATGCTGATGATCTTCAATGCACCGCTTTATGCCTTTGATCACGGTGATGATGGTAATGAATGATGATGATGATGATGATGATGATCAATTATTGAATCGTTTCCTTTCATTTTTCAAAATTTTTTTGCTTTTTTCAAGCAGTAGAAGAAAAAAAAAGCAAAAAAAAAAAAAAAAGAACATGAGTCCTGATTAAGATGAAATGGTCTTAATCCCTACCCTTTGATTTTCATCAAATGATGATATGTTATGATGATGATGTTTTAGGGTTTGTGATGTTATATCTCAGATCTTTCTTTTGTATAAAATTTTCTCTAATTCAATCCCTCAAAAATGGATTAAAACCCCCATTTCCTGCCATTTTCTCTCTTTTTTTAATTAATTTTTCAAGAAAAAAAAATAAAAATGAGACTAAGATTAAAATTAAAAATGGGTCTTGATTTATTATGCCCTTAATTTTTGTTATATAATGTTGATAATCAATCTTTGTAGTTAAAAATATTATGATGATTTAGTGTTTGTGATGATATCAGATCTGAGTTTATTCAAATCTCAGCTTCTTGTTATTAGATCTATCTTTGTATAAGATGTTAGTTGATCCACTTCAATGCATCAAAAATGAATTAAAATCACTGTTTTTTGTAGACCTTATATATTTTTTATTTAGTGACAAGGGATAACTGGGTTTTGTCCAATATATTTTCTCTTCGGATTGATTCAAGCAAGTTTATTTAGATCGCGTTATTAAATTTTGTGTACGTTTCTTTGTTATGCAGTACTTCTGATTTCTCCTGCATTGGTTCTGTTTTCTTTTCTTCTCAAATTGGTTTTTGTCTAGAGAGTTTGATAACTCTTTGGAGTTTTTTTTTAATCTTCTTTATTTTCTCTCTTTTCATGGTTTGATCTTCATTCCAACACTCTATTGTGGTTTCTTTCTGATTGCAGATTTGAACTTTGCCTCTCTTATTCTTAATACAAGCCTTGTTTCTATAGGAACTGGCACCACTTTATTTTTTTTCTTTTTTATTCATGTGAATATACTCCTGGTGTTTAAAATTCAGGTTTAATCCAATTAATTGGTGGAGTCAATGTTATTAATAGGTTATTGAATTAATTTTGATTTGTTATCAAAAATAATTTTAGAAAAATTTATTTTTAGTTAATTTGATTTGAAAATCGAATTAATCAAAATTTTAATTGAAATATAATAAAACATATATATAATTAAAAATATATAAAATTGTTTAAATTATTAAAGTTTTTAGTCAATACTTTGGTATTTAAGTATTTTTATTAGATGATTTTATTTAATTTGTTTTAACTATAAGAAATTAAACTTTTAATTTAATGTAATTTATTATTTGATTAACAAAAAAATTAATCAAATTGATTAAATTAATTTTGGTTGATTAATTTTTTAATTAAAAATTTTGATTTAATTAATAAAAAGAAAATAATATAATTTGATTAATTTAATTTTAAATAATTTTATTTGAAATAAATCAAACCGATGGAACGAAGATTCTACTTTTATGTATAAAAAAAATTGGGTAGATATTGGGTCTTGATGTGGTAGCAGTATCAGTTTGGTTTGGACAAGAAAGAGAATTTTTGCGATTAATTCAATCACAAGAGTAGCATTTTTCTTTCATTTGCCGTGACTTAATTTGTTGTAACAATTTAAATTTCATCATGTTTTCTTCCAATAAATGAAAAAAAAAAAAAAAAAGATCGTTGTCAGGTTCTTGATTGTTCAATCATCTTTGGTTAAATTGGAAGGCAACTTGAAATCTGATCTAACTTCATGGAATTTTCGAATTGCACTGTGGTGAGTCATATGCTGTGACTTTTTATGAAGGTTTTTTGCTTTGGGGTTTGACCGTTAATGACCTATTGAGAATTGAGATTAGACTTATTATCTAAAATAAATTATAATAACATGATATGAATGCAATATGAAAATAAAATATAAAAGTGATATGATTTAAAATTATAAAAATAATTATATATAAATTTCATAAAACAAAAAAAATTATATTTTATATTTTTATATCGATATAAATTATTATATGTAATTTTCGTATAAAATATAATATAAATATATAAATTTTAATATTTTATATGATACGAATATATGAATTATTAATCATAATTAAAATGATTAATGCAGACTTCCCAAATGTAATATCCCATATGCTTTGCATTTTGCAATTGCAATTTGACCTTTCTTTTGTGGTTCATGCACTTGTCTTTTTTTTTTTTTTTGGAGGGGGGGGATTGGTTTTGGATTTGAGCCAAAGTTGATTAATCTAACGTTTTCACCTTATTAAAATGAAAAGCATAGAAAATTAAACAAAGACTTGACTGAAAGAAAAAAAAAAAAAAAAAACCTAAGAAACCTTGTAGCAAGAGCTAGAGCTCGTGTTGGAGAATGAGAACCAATGATACATTTGCTGCTGTGGCCATCCAGTGAGGTGATCTGTTTGTTTCTTTGAAAAAAAAAATTCTTAGGCATTAGTGATGTTTCTGCTAAGTTTCACACTTATTGGATAGCACGCCATAAAAATAATATAAAAAAATAATACCAATATAATATTATTTAAAATTTTAATAAAATTTAAAAAATATATTTTATATTTTTCGTATCAATATAAATTACAACATATAATTTTATTTTTAATACAATATATATAAATTAATTATTAATATTTTATATGATAAAAATATACAAATTACTAATGAAGATTTCATCACCCAAAATTTTTTTTAACTGGGCTGCGCTCAAATTTGGACCTAAATTATTCTGATCTACAAACATGCTTCCTATTGAAGAAGATTAGGGTGCTATTCTAGCTCTCAAGCCTTTGTGAAGTTGGATGAATGGCATTTTTGTTTTCCAATAATTTTAAAGAACATAAAAGAGAACAAATTCAGTTAAGAATATGAGAAGAACTAGGACAATAATTATCCCAAATGGGTCATTGATAAAGCAGATTTGATCTTGAATGAAATTCATTCTGTACCATGGGAAGCAAGGAACTGTTTAGAAGGTTCCTTTTTGACTAATTTCAAATCATAATTTCATATTTTAGGACCCTTTCCCTCTCTCAAGGTTTCCCTTTGACTCAACAATGTTTTTGGATTGCATGAATTTTTTTGTATAAAAAGATTACGAAAATAAAAAAAAAATTGTAAGTACTGAAATTTGATTTTTAAATTTGTTGAATGCCATCTTTTAATAATAACTGTATAAATTAACTGAATTAAACTTCAAATTTAGATTGGTTAAAAACCAATCTATTTGATTAACTGAATAAAACACCAAAGAGGCAAAAAAACTGGTTCCAGTTGGCTATTTGATTTGCAATTGCTGGTTTGGTTTCGGGATTGGACCAGCTAAACCTGCGGCATGCCTCAAGGGAAATATTGGAATCCTTACCCATGACCCAAAACCTGGTTTGGTTTGGTTTAGTTTAAAAGATTGTCATATGGTTTGTTCTGTAAATGGACTGAGGACTAAGTTTTAGCCCAAGCAAAATTCTAATGTTTTTTCTACAAAGAAACTTGTAGTAAGAGAAAGGTCATAGGAATTCGAATTTAAATTTTAGATTTATTTAATATTATTTATTAAAAATAATTATATAAATTAATTGAATTAAAATTTGAATTCAAATCTTAAATGGCTAACACTTGATCTCGAATCATTGACACAACATTAATCTTGGTGCTTTCCTAATTAATGGGGGATTTTCATTTTTGAGATTTCCTATTAACTTTGCAATTGCTTTCATTTTACATATAATTTCATACGGCACATGTACTATGATTATTTAGCCCAAATTAAGTAGAAACAATATAGGAAATCAATCAAGACTAGAAATTTATATATTTTCCTTTCCATTTTCCATTCTTACAATCACTCGAGTCCTTAAATTCTTTCAATTTTTCCAACAATATGATACATCAAAGTTCACCCACAAAGCAACTCAACCAATCAAAATGTTTTGACATGTTATGCTTATTCTTGTCGAGGGTGAGAAAAATAATTCGAAATCTGAAAATCGATTCGAAATTATAATATTTGATTCGAATCATATTAATTTTTTTATTCAGTTTAGATTAAATTCGAATATTAAATATATATATTAAATTCAAATCAAATTTTAGATCAAAATGAAAACAAAAAAAAAAAATTGAACTAAATTATATATATTTAATTTTTATAAAATAATAATTTTTATCAAATTTATTTAAATATATTAAAAATATTATATAAAATTTAAAAAAATTAAAAAATAAAAATCGATAAATCGAACCAAATCGATAAAATTTAATTCAATTTAATTTAATTCGAATAAAAATTCAACTCAAATTTTAAATTTTTATAATATTATATATTATATAAAAATATTAAATTGAATTCAAATCAAATTATTATCACTCATAATTCATGCCAAAGCCTCCCATTATCCACATCAAATCAGTTCAAGTTTTGCACTTCAACATTACCTTATCATCCCTATTAAGTACAGCTTGCCAAAAGATAAACAGTTTTCTCTCAAAAACCCCAACAAGAAACATGGCTTATCTAATTTATCATAGAAAACTACCCTTTCTTGTCTATTAACATCAATTCCTTCCTTCTAGAGTCAAACAATGAAGTTATAGTGAATGCAACTTTTGATGTAGCATTCGGTGAACTCAAATTTTTTTTTAAGGTATTAATTTATAGTATATATAAAAAATTATTAACGAATTTATCAATTTTATTAACGAAAAATATTTTTAAAAAACTTTTTCTTTATTTTTTAATTTTTGGGTGTCTATAAACATCCTGCACCATAACTAGACATGTGGTTCCACATATGCATCGGCTATGTTTGTCAAGAATCATGCCACCAGTGATACGAGGAAAGTGTAGATAATTTTGGAGGTGATGAATTTTGATAGAGGTGAAAAAAAAATTGATAAAATTAAAAATCAATTTGAAATTGTAATATTTGATTTGATTTAGTTTGATTTTTTTATTCGATTTAGATTATGTTTGAATTTTAAATAAATAAATATTAAATTTAAATTAAATTTTTGATTAAAAAATAAAAAAAATTAAAGCGAATGAATTATATATTTTTATTAATTTATATATATTAAATTTTTACAAAATAAAATAATTTTTTATACATAAATTTCTTTAAATGCATTAAAAATTATATAAAAATAATATATAAAAATAAAAAATAAAAAATTAATAAACTAAATTAAATCGATAAAATTCGATTCAAATTAAATATATAAAAAAATATTTTAAATTTAAATCAAATTTTAAAAATTTATAATCATACATATTATTTAAAAAAATTAAATTAAATTTAATTCAAATTGAACCGTTATTATCTCTAAATTTTGATGTTAGGATTTATATTAGGGCTTTCTTCGATACCATTTCAGCTTGGATATGGGGATGGGAAAGGACGTGGATTAATTGTAGGGATGTGACTGGGATTTTTGTATAACAAAACCAGTGGAGCCATGTTATATAGAGCAAGAAGATGCCAGGTTGGGCTATTGTCTAAGACACGTTTCATTAGAAAGTAAGTGTCGTTTTTGAGCCAAAGCCCCAAACATTCTAAAGCTTTACAAAATCTTTACTTCAAGCCTTGCCCAAAGCCATACAGCACGTTTCATTCAAAAGTACGCATCGTTTTAGAATCAAAGTTTTAAATTAGGGAAAATAACAACGACTGGATCATATTTAATTTAATTTTTAAAAACAATATATAATATTATAAAATTATAAAATTATATTTAAATTTAAATCTATTTTTTTTAAGATCGATCTAATTTAAAATTAAATTCTATCAATTCAATTTATTAATTTTTTTGCTTTTTATATATTATTTTAATTAAATTTTAATATATTTAAATATAAAATAATTATTTTTATTTTATAAAAATTTAAAATATATATCAATTAATAAAAGTAATAATTAGATTTTATTTATTTTTTTTTTATTTTTCACATTTTAATTTAAAATTTAACCTAAATCTAATATATATATATATATATATATTTAATATCCGAATCAAATAAAATAAATAAATCTAAATCAAGCTATACACTACTATTTCAAATTAATTTTCGGTTTTTTTAATTTTTTTTCTCATCCCAACCCTACACATTCTGAAGAGCGCCCTTTTACAATCGATACACACAGAAAGAACGCTCTTCTTTTCTCTCTTTGCCTACAAAATATAAAGCGTCAAGCTATATAATAGCATGATAAAGCTTCAAATTATATAGCTATATAGCTTTACACAAAGAAATCTAAAACCCTTGCTAAATCTTTAGCTTCAATGCTTTTTCCATCACTTGATTTTCGATGTTTTTTCCTTAAAAAAAACAGTCTTTTTATTAAATTCCCCAGGAGGTCTCTTTTAGCCTCATTTCAGTTAGTTTCTTCATTTACTACCCTTATTGCTGCAAATGAAATAGACCCCATTTCTTATCCATCTTTAAAAGTCCCAGCTTTCAAAGAAAAAGCCAAGCTTGAAAGAACCAAAAGGTTAAAACTTTACTCTAAGATTCTACATGATTGTGCTTCAAAAGGGTCTTTGAGTCTGGCCAAAGTTGTTCATAGGAAGATAATAGAGAATGGGTTTGAACCGGATTTGCATTTATGGAACTCTTTACTGAATGTCTATGCCAAATGTGGGAGCTTTGGATATGCTCGTAAAGTGCTTGATAGAATGCCTCTACGAGATGTTGTGTCTTGGACTGCTCTGTTTTCTGGTTTAGTTAATGAAGGGTATGGATCTGATGTGTTGCGTTTGTATTGTTTTATGAAGAAAGATGGTATTCTGCCAAATGGCCATTGCTTAGTAACTGCTTTGAAAGCTTGTTCTTTGAGTTTAGAGTTGTTTCTTGGGACACTGTTGCATGGAGAAGGTGTTAAAGTTGGAATTTTGTTGGATGTTTTTGTTGGGTCTTCTCTTGTTGATCTTTATGCGAAATGTGGTGAGATAGAACTCGCAGAGAGAGTGTTTGTTTGCATGGATAAAAAGAATGTCGTGTCATGGAATGCATTACTTAATGGATATGCTCTAAAGGGTAATGCAGGAAAGGTTTTGAATTTGTTTCAAGGGATGACGGAATCTGAATTGAGGTGTAGTAAGTTTACTTTGTCAAATGTGCTCAAGAGTTGTACATACTTGGGAAACTTAACATGGGGCTTGGTTGTGCATTCTTTGGTAATTAAGACTGGTTGTGAGCATGATGAATTTGTCGGTTGCTGCCTTCTTGACATGTATTCAAAATGTGGACTGGCTGAGGATGCACTCAAGGTCTTTAAAAGGGTTCAAGAACCCAACATAGTAGCCTGGAGTGCAATGATTGACTGCCTTGATGAACAAGGCCAGATTCAAGAAGCAGCTACTATGTTTTGCCTAATGCGACACAAAGGGGTAAGCCCCAATCAGCATACTTTTGCCAGCATTATTGGTGCTGCCAGTAATATGGGTGATCAGTTCTATTGTGAAGGCATTCATGCATGTATACTTAAATATGGCTTTGAATCTGAAAACTTTTTGAGTAATGCACTTATTGCCATGTATATGAAAATCAGGTCTGTCCAAAATGGTTGGCAGGTGTTTAAGGAAATGAATTCTTGGAATTCAGCATCATGGAATGCCCTTCTTTCTGGAACGTGTGATGATAAAACTTGTGATCAGGGACCAAGTATCTTTCACAAGATGCTTGCTGAAGGTTTTAGGCCTGACATCTGTACGTTTACTAGCATTCTAAGATCTTGTTCCAGCCTTTTAAATCTAAAATTTGGACAGCAAGTGCATGCCCATATAATAAAGAATGGCCTCAATGATAATAATTTAGTGGGAACATCTCTTATTGACTTGTATGCCAAAAGTAAATCCTTGGAGGATGCGGAGCTACTTTTTAGTCAATTGATTGAGATAGATCTTTTTTCCTGGACAGCGTTGATTTCTGGTTATGTTCAAACTGATCATTTGGAGAAGGCTATCAATTGCTTCGATCAGATGCAAAGGCAAGGTGTGAAACCCAATGAATTCACTCTTGCAACCTGTTTGAGTAGTTGCTCCAAGATGGCAATGTTGGAAAATGGGCAGCTGCTTCATTGTTTGGCAATTAAGGCTGGGCATTCTGCTGACCTGTTTGTATCTTGCACAATTGTAGATATGTATGCCAACTGTGGCTGCATAGAAGAAGCTGAAGCTGCCTTCCAGGCCATGTTGTCACCAGATATTGTATCATGGAACACAATGTTATTTGGATACTTGCGACATGGGAAAGGATTGAAGGTTTTGGAAACTTTTAGGACAATGTTAGATAAAGGCCTTGAGCCAGATGAGGTTACATTCTTAGCAGTTTTATCTGCATGTAGTTATATGCGTTTGCTTGGAGAAGGCAAAGAGCACTTTGACTCTCTGACCAATGTTTATGGAATAGTACCTACAATCGAGCATTGTGCTTGTATGATTGATATTTTAGGTCGAGCTGGAAAATTTAATGAGGTTGAAAGCTTTATCAAGGACATGAAGGTTACATCAAATCCCTTGATTTGGGAGACAGTTCTTGGCACTTGTCGACGGCATGGAAATGACAAATTTGGTGAAATTGCTGCGAAGAAACTCTTTGAGCTTGACCCTGGTACAGCCTCCCATTACATATTACTAGCAAATATTTTTGCTGCCAAGGGTAGGTGGGAGGATGTCCAAAGAGTCAGGGCATTGATGACTAGTCGTGGTGTTAAGAAAGAACCTGGGTGTAGTTGGGTGATGGTTAATGGCCAACTGCACATCTTCAGGTCTGCAGATGGTTCGCATCCAAAAAGCAGGGAAATCTATATAAAATTGAAGGAGCTTGTAGAGAAGGTTATTTTAGCTGGTTATGTGCCTAAGACAGAACATATACTCCATAATGTCAGTGATGGAGAAAAAGTGGAACAACTCTTTTATCATAATGAAAGGTTGGCCCTTGCTTTTGCCCTTATAAGCATCAACCCTGTGAAAACAATTCGAATATTCAAAAATTTGAGTGTATGTGAAGACTGCCATGATTTTATGAAGCTTGTCTCTGGCATCATAGAACAGGAGATTGTTGTTCGTGATGTGAATTGTTTCCATCACTTCAGGTGCGGCATTTGTTCATGTCAAGATTAGTGGTGATTTTGCTGTAGTCATCCAGCAAAAAGGTTCGTTTCCAGATAACTTTCCTCCATGTTGTTCTCCATAATTTGTTTGTAGGATTTCAGAGTTTAGATGGTAAATCATCGTGCTCGCATTTTGCCATGTCAGTAGTATCAATTTTTTTATTATGAACTTGAACAGCAGATGATTGTTTCTTAGTTTGCTCATGTTGTTCTGAAAAAGTGAATCTTTCTTTTAGGTTTCTTGGTTTTGGATAGCTAATAGTTAATATATCGGAATAGTCGTCACCCCTATTTGTTATTGATATTTACCTACATTTATTTTCTTTTATGCATATCGATCTTCCTCATCTGTCTCTTATCCTATCTGATCTGCAACCTCCAGGTCCTTTATCACCCGGACTTTCTAAAAATTTTCAAGTTGATTCTAATATGGAGTTATCCTTGTTTGAGGACCTCAATTTCTGGAGGTATCTCATGTTCAAATGATGGCTTCCGATCTTGGTCATAGACAGCCAATTCGCCTCATTGCTTATCACTACCACGGCTAATGTTGTATGGAATTATAATTCTCTATGTGAAGGTCTTTCTTTGACAAGTGACTAGATTAGCAACCAGATTTGCAATGTTTGATTTCACAGTGAATGTTTATGTAAGATATGGGAGTTTCAGGTTTTCTTGTCCGTACACCGAGTTACATTGCTTCCTTTTGTTCATTTATGCTTTCTTTCATTCATCGAGCTACTTTTATTTGCATTGTGTTTATTAGATCTTTTTCTTTTTTTCTGTTTCCTTAGAGGTTTGGCTGATATATGATTCCACTAGACAGGGATATGTTGGAGAACTCATCATGGCATTGCAGGTTGGCAAAATTGTGGATTTCGTGCACTCTTTGATTAATTTGATCCTTCTAATCTAACCTGTTGGTATTTTGATGTGTCATCAGTATAACAAGCTGGACACCAAATGAAACTTGCATTGCATGTTTGGACCATCAAGGCTTGCAGTAAGTATGCTATTTTTCTTTATGTGATCCATAAGCTTCCTTGTGCAAAACTTCTGTCACTTTTTGTTTATTTGGTTCAGAAACTAACAAAACATTCTTCAAATCAAGTGATCCGGATATCATCGTATGCTTTCATGATCATAAGTTGATGCTTAATTCATTGTTAAAAAAGGCTTGCTCGGGACGTACCCTAAAGGAACACAAGACTGCAGTTTCTGTTTACAACACCCTTTGCTGGTTTTTCTTCCTTGATGTCAGTGACTTTGAGAGCTAAGAAGCTGCTCAGGGCCTCCGGGAATGGCTTTTACCCTTGAAAGTGGCAGAGCCTGCACCAATTTTGGAGTTTTAAATGATCTCTTGTTCTATTTTTCCTTGGAAAAACCTTTGTAATTCTTCAGAAAATGTGTTTCACAGCTTAAGAGACAAAGTGAGAGAGTTTATGATTCCATTTTAATCATGTAAAATGGAGTAACAAAATATTTATTTTTCTTGTTGCTCTTCATTTTTATATACCTTTTCTTTTTTATAAAATAATGTTCGGGGCAAGTCATAAATTTTGAAAGTGGAGAATGAACATTTGTGGATTATCTTATGTTCAGTGAGTAGAGGTGTTCATGAGTTGAGTTTATGCTTGATATTAATAGTTTTTATGTTTATTTATATATGTTTATTCAAGTTTAGTGCAATTCAATAATTTGGGTTTTAAAATTTTTTTAAGCTCGATTTAAATTAAAAAATAAACGTCAATTACATCCATTCAATTTAATTTATATAATAAAAAATAAGAAAAGATATATTTTTTAAATAAAATATAAAAATTAACATATATATTTATATAATTATAATATTTTAATTATATATTTTTATTCGGGTCGGATCGAGTTTAATTTTATTTTATCTAAAATTTAATATAAAATTTAAATGAATTTAAAAATTATTTCAAATTGGTTTAATCGATTTTAATTTTTCGTCTAAATTCTTTTAAAATTTAGACGAATTTTTTGATATGAATAGATAGCTTAACCTTTGCATGAGTCTATCATTGGATGGGAATTTTTTTTTCTTTTAAAAGTACAATACATTTTCTTGAACAATAAAAAGTTTTTACATTTTCATCGGTATATTTATTTTTTAGATTAATTCAAACATATTTATTTATGTCAAACTTAATGAATTTATGAGATTCCACAACCTTCTAATGATTCAAATAATGGAACAAATTCTCTTACTACTTTAACCAAACATTCGTTGAATTTTTTTACTAAACTAACTTTTTATTACTTTTCCTACTAAAAATCTTTTAAACTAGTGTTAATCTATCATATTGTAAAAGTATGCTTTATTTATTATTGGTATTAAATAATATAATAAAAGTTATGTTTACGATTAATTATGTATTTATGGTGTAAAGTCAAATATAAAAAATAAAAGCTGCTATCATAATAAAATTCGAAATTAATGTAAATAACCCATCAATATCCCACCATGCATTTCACACCATTCAAAACTAACCCAAAAATTAACCCATCCTCATCACAATTAGTATCATACTCTTCCATCTCTTTCTCGCGGAAAAAGAAATTATGTTTGTCAAAATTTTTTTAATTTTTACCTCAACTAATTTGAAATTACCCTCTTTTCTTTTTTTTTTTTACATTTTTTTAATAACATTTCTTATAAGCATATCAATAGATAAGATATAAGATGAGTAAAATATTTTTCATTCTTATTTCAGACTTTTTATATTATATTCATTATCATATTTATATCTAATAAATATTGATAATTTTTGTATCCGTAATTTTTATTAAAAAATAAAAATAAAAAAATTTATTTTTAAAATTTTTTATTTTTATCTTACATATTTATATTTTTTATAATTATATTAATATATATTTTAAATATAAATACATTACTTCTAATTAATTTAAAAATAATTTATATTATTTAATAAAAACTTATTTATTAAAATATATATAGGATATAAATAAAAATATAAAATAAATGCTCTATTATTCATTTTTATTTCGTATTCAATAAAAATTTTAAAATCATATATATTAATATCTCTATTCTTATAATATAATATTTATCACCAATTCTATTCACTTAAAAATCAAAATTTTTATTAAATATAAATAAAATTCACATCTGCTTCAAGACCCCGTCGTTTTGAAATTTTCAAAAAACCGTTAAAAACTCACCGTTAAAACTCTAAGTTTTTAATACGATGACGTATTGAGCTTGCCTTTTTCGTCGGTATCTAAAGCACTCTCTCTTCCCAAGAAAAACACGCACGGCCACAAGGGGCACAGCAGTGTCCCTTCTTTTTCATTTTTTTTTCTTCGTTTTTTGGACTATTTTCTCTCTATTTTCTTTTCTCGAAATTTTGAAGGAAAAAAAATCGACGAGATTGATAGTTTTCTCTTCAGAAATGGAGATCGGAGCCGGTCGGATCGGTTCATGCTCAAAAGAACACCAGAAAATTTATCAAGAGTGGTTTAACTTTGCCGATTCAGGTTCATTTTTATTTTTTTTTCAAAATTTTTAGTCGCTTTTTTTAATTTTCTTTAATTATTTATTTTTGGGTAGATGACGATGGCCGCATTACTGGAAGCGATGCAATAAAGTTTTTTGGTATGTCAAATTTACCGCGACAAGATCTCAAGCAGGTTAATTTTCTTTTATTTTCTTCATTTTAATTTTGCTAATTTTATTTTTTATTAAGTTCCGCTTCAATTTGAAAATTGTGGGGAAATTTGAATATTGCTAAGTGAATTGAATTTAAATAGTATGAAATCTGATCTTGCTTGCTGTTAGATTTATTGCTAAATTTTTGTTACTTGATCATGAACGTGCAAAGTAAACTCTTTAATTGAATCATTTGAAAGTTTGGGTTTTCAATAAATATAACAAATTTGGGAAATTTGAATGTTGCTAAGTGAATTGAATTTAAATCGTATAGAAGATGTAAATTTTTTAACTGACCATGCTTGCTGCTAGACTTATTGCTAACTTTTTGTTACTTGATCATGAACTTGCAAATTAAACCCTTAAATTGAATCATTTAAAGTTTGGGTTTTCAGTAAATGTAACAAATTTAATTTGTGCTTTGCTCATTTGTGGTTTCTCTTAGTGATTCAACTTCATTTATCGGTATATTGTTGAATAGATTGTTTTTTTATTTTTGTTTTTGTATTGAACCATTGATTCCTTAAAGGTGTGGGCGACTGCGGATTCTAAGAGACAGGGATATCTTGGTTTCAAAGAATTTGTCTTTGCTATGCAGGTTAGGAGTTGTAGTTTTCTTTGAATTCTTATTATATATATTAATTGATTTCTGCAAATCTGACCTGCTGTTACTTTTAATATTCAGCTGGTTTCGCTGGTGCAAGGTGGTCGTGAAATATCCCATGATTTCCTGAATGGTGATGGTATGACGATTTTGCTTGGTCTTATTTCTGAATTGTATGCTTTGAATGTTTTTATCAGGTTGAAAGCTTTTAATTTGTAGTTATTTATTTAAAAGACTGTCCTTTTTTTTTTTTTTGCCTCTGCATTTATCATCTAATATTGTGAATTAAATGTTAAAACTAATGTTAAGATATGCTGATATATTGCAGTAGACTTTGAGAATGTCAAACCTCCTGTAATGGAAGGTTTGGATACACTAATCATGGTAAGATTACTTCTTTTACTTTTTAAGGCTATGTTCCATATGCTTAGCAGCATGAAATTCTTACTATTTTGTTTGATTTATCCAGAAGAAGAAACAATCTTCAAAGTTGACTAGCCCTGATAGCAATGGTATGAATTTCTCTGTAACCTTCAATGGTTATTTTACTCTGATTTTTTTGCCATATATTCACTAGTTGGGGCAGTGCAGGTAGTTCTTCAATGCAAACATTACCTGCAGCTCAATGGTTTTCTTCAAAATCATCAAAGAAGGTTTGTGTTGTCATTGTTTAATTGAGCTTCTTTTGCTCCTGATGCACTTTTCTTTCTTCAAAATCATCAAAGAAGGTTTGTGTTGTCATTGTTTAATTGAGCTTCTTTTGCTCCTGATACACTTTTCTTTTGCCTGTTCTTTTTGTCATCTAAGTGTAGTGGCTATATATAATTTATTTATTTATATCAAATGCATATTTGACTCTTTATTTTACTTCCTGAAGGCTTATGAGTCTTAACTTTGGTATATTGTGGCTTTAATGATGCTAATATGTGTCCAATCTTTTTAATTGATCCTTTTGTATACAGTGTTTTTATTTATCTGCATCCTTAGCATGGTTAACTAATTTTTCCCTGTGTATAACAGATATCTTTGTCCTCTGTGACTTCAATCATAGATGGTTTAAAGAGACTGTACATTCAGAAGTTGAAGCCTTTAGAAGTTACATATCGTTTTAATGATTTTGTATCCCCATTGTTGGTGAGTGATTGGTAGATATAATTTCTCTGAATTCAGTTTTAATTATCATTGGATATGTGCTAACGTTTTCTTTGAAAGCTGTCTAAAGCTAATCAGCTGATTTTGATTTTTGTTTATTGCAGACAAATAGTGATTTTGACGCCAAGCCAATGGTTATGCTTTTGGGTCAGTATTCCACTGGGAAAACCACCTTCATTAAACATTTGCTTAAAAGTAGTTATCCAGGCAAGTGACCCTCTCCCTTTCTTTCCTCTCCTCCTCCCGGCAAAACTTTTTTCACTCATTTGTTTCATTATCATTCTCAGGAGCTCACATTGGACCTGAACCAACGACTGACAGATTTGTTGTTGTTATGGTACTTCAGAACTTCTGTTCGGTGATAATATCATTGATGTAGCATGACTAGTTTCCATCACTTTGTTGATTTGACATCAATTATGGAAATTGAATCTTAATTTTCTGTATGATTTGTCTATAGTTATATACTCTGGTTGTTATTGATCATTTGATGTTAGTTGTTATCATTGAATTTTGTATTAATCGCATGTATCATATACTGTCTTCCATTTATGCAGTCGGGAACAGATGAAAGAAGTGTTCCAGGAAATACCATTGCTGTCCAAGCTGACATGCCATTCAGTGGTCTCACTACTTTTGGAACTGCTTTTTTGTCAAAGTTTGAGTGTTCTCAAATGCCACATCCTGTGAGTTAATCGTTCAAATACTAATTTACTATGATCATTAATTTTATGGTTGTGCTTATATAGAATCTGGTATGTTCTTTTCATGCCTGAAGCTGTTGGAGCACATAACATTTGTAGACACTCCTGGAGTGTTGTCAGGAGAAAAACAACGAACACAACGAGCCTATGATTTTACAGGTGTAACATCATGGTTTGCTGCAAAATGTGATCTTATTCTTCTGCTGTTTGATCCTCACAAGCTAGATGTAAGTGATGAATTCAAGCGCGTAATTTATTCTTTGCGTGGCCATGATGACAAGATTCGTGTGGTTTTGAACAAGGCGGACCAAGTTGATACTCAACAAGTAAGCACTATATCAGCGATGTTTCAGAACTACTAGTCTTTCTTAGATGTAGCTTTTGATGCTAGGATTTTAAGTTTGCTTATATTTTCCTTTTATTGTAGTTGATGAGGGTTTATGGAGCCTTGATGTGGTCACTGGGGAAAGTCCTTAATACCCCTGAGGTTGTGCGCGTATATATTGGGTAAGCTCTTTCTCTCTATCAATCTTAAAAAATTCAGGGCACATTCATTTATTGTTAATGAATGTGTCCACATGAACTGTAATTCTATTCCTCATTTCATATCAAACTAAGATGCATCTTGTTCTTCCTTTTCGATGTTAATATCTCATCTTTTGCAGATCGTTCAATGACAAGCCCGTAAATGAAGCTGCCACAGGTCCAATTGGGAAGGAGTTATTCGAGAAAGAACAAGAAGACCTTCTTGCGGACTTGAAAGATATCCCAAAGAAAGCTTGTGATCGTCGAGTAAGTTCATTTTACTATTCTAGCTCGGAAAAAATGGAGTCTTTTATATGAGAAGTAAAAAGGTCTCTGCAGCTTAGTACACATGGATTGTTTAATAGGAATAGTTAGTAATGTACTAAGGACATTATAAAACCTCTCTTTTTTTCGAAAACGCATGTCAAAGAGAAGTCTTAAATCTTAATACATTGTTTACCTGCAGATAAATGAGTTTGTGAAACGTGCTAGAGCTGCCAAGATGCATGCTTATATCGTCGGTCATCTTAAGAAGGAAATGCCTTCTATGATGGGGAAAGCAAAGGCTCAACAGAGACTAATTGATAATTTGGCAGACGAATTCGGAAAAGTATCCTCTCTCTCTTCTCTTTTTGTGTGTGCATCGAAAACTAAATTCTTTTATCATGCACCAGTTGCTTATGCAGAATTATATATATACATACATATATATATGTACTTGTTATACAGGTTCAAAGAGAGCATCACCTACCTCCAGGGGATTTTCCAAATGTGGAACACTTTAGGGAGGTTTTGAATGGTTACAATTTTGACAAATTTGAGAAGCTAAAGCCTAAAATGATTCAAGCTGTTGATGATATGTTGGGTTATGACATCCCACAACTGTTGAAGACCTTCAGAAATCCCTATGATTAAACAAATTGCTTGGTGTATATGACATGATGATCAAAACTGGATGGTTGATCAACAAAAATCTGAGTTCTACTTGAGCAATATTGTCTCAAATTTGTTGTAGATCATCTGTATTAGTTCCTATAATGGTTCTTTCATGTTCACCGGAAAGTTCGATTCATGTTTAGATCATGCCATGATTATATCAATCCGATTTTTTATGGTTTCTTCCTTCTATCGAAATAAATAAAATATTAATTTAATTCAATTAATTCTGTCAATCAATTTAAAAAAATAATATTTGATAAGATTTAAATCTTAACACAAATAAAAAAAATTTCCAATGTGTCCAAACTTATATATATTAGGCATGAAAATAGATAACAAATCAATAGATATTTATCGTTATTTTATTTGTTTATATCGAAATTTAAATAATTATAAATAGAAATTTAATAAATTTAAATAGTTATAAATAAATAATTAATGAATTTAGATAAAAAATTTATTATTTATGACAAATTTAAAGTAAATATAGATAATATTTTTTAAATATTCAATATTCATATCTTTTTAAAATTTAATGAATAATAATGACATTCAAATTATCTATTTATATTAGATTCGAATAATTATAAATGGATAATTAATAAATTTATTATTTTTTTATATTTGATCTATATAATTATAAATAATTAATTAATAAATTCGAATAAAAAATTTACTACCCCAATCAAGTTTAAGTATAGGTAGAAAAAAAAATTTTCTCGGCTTCTAAATTCTGTGTCAAAGACCAAACATCAATGTCCAACAAGACAGTAACACCCTCAAGGAATGTCCAAATTTACCAATTGACCTTTTAAAACGATGTCATGTTAAATCTTACTAAGAGGATAGTTTAGTCAACCAATAACTTTTTTCTCTCATTAATTTTTTTATTTCCAATTTAGAGCCTCTAAAACCCTAAACCTCCTTCATCCTTTCCTTTTTTTTTCCTTATTCTGTTTTCAGAGATGTTGATGTCTAGGGCTTTGTCACGCGTTTCCAGGAGCGTCGGGATGCTCCTTGCTTCTCTCCACTCCAAAGAAGCTTCAAAATCCAAGCTTTTCCACTCAGTTTCACTCTCTTGTTTGTGAATCTCCTAATAAGGTACTAAAAATTTACAATAAATGAAGTAGATAAATAAACCCTTGATTGTTTGTGGTTAGTTGTGATAAGGGTTTTGCTAGGGTTTAAGGATTTTGTTTAAATGAGCTCAATTTGATGACTTGTTAATCTGGTCATTGTTTTTTCATTTTATATATTTTTTATTATCATGTTGGAATTCTGTGGGTTTGTTCTTGCTCTTTTTTTTTTTTTATATATTGTATGTTTTGATTGTGTAAAAGTTTAGCATAAAAGATTCAAATTTTTTTTTTATTGCAATGAATCAAACATAACTATGGCTGTAAATGAATCAAACATCAAAACAAATGTACGTATGTCTGTGGTTTGTTTGTTTACTTTTAGAGGTGTTCGGGCTCTGTTCCTGTTCGGTAAGAAAATTACTCTGTTTGTTTAAGCTTGGTTCGTTTAGTTTGGTTTGTGTTCACGAACATAAATATTAAACGTATGTCTGTGTTCACGTTTGATTTCTGTTCGGTTTAATTAAATTAAACGAGTTCGTTTATGGATATTAAACAAGCATGTTAATGAACATTTATAAATGAACATGTGCATGAACAATAAACAAATAAGTCTTGATCGAACATAAATTAACTTTAAAATCGGAATAGGATTAGGGTAAAGGATAAAAATGTAATTTTGTTAGTATTATTATAAACAAATAGTAATCGAAAAAATAAACAAACAATAAACGAACGAGCTTCAAACGAACTTTAAGCGAATTTGTTCATGAACATAAACGAACCAAATAGGCCTCTGTTGGTGTTCGGTTCATTTAATAAACGAACGTAAAAATGTTGTTCAAGATTGTTAGTTACACTTAATAAATGAACATAAATGAAAATAAACCAAACATGTTCATAAACAGTTCGTCAAAAGCTTTGTTCGTTTGCATCGCTGAACATAACAAAGTAGAAAATTTTACCGATTGTCTTAATGCAGTTATTACATTAATTATTTATAAGCTGTAACCTCATTTTTAATATTGAATTTTTCAATGTCTTGTTGGGTTTAGGGTTCTCTTTTATTTCAGTAATTGAGTGATCATGTAGGATCTTAAATCTATATTTTGGTTCCTTCAAAACATAACTGATTGCTTGCATTTTGATAAATTGGTCCATTTTAGTGTATTTTCTTTGAATTTGGGTGCGATATTACAAGATGCATGCCCTTTCTCTGTGCAGTTGGTGACAAGTGATGTGTCTCTGCCGCATCATTCAAGGCTCAGTTTTTCTGGATTCCAACGATTTGGGATCTCTTCGGCTGCCTCCCCTGAGCCTTCAGAAAAGGAACATGGTAGTGCTGTAGAAAATAATGGTCAAGAGCATATAAAACCAAGTGGTGATATGAGTCCGGGAGAGGCCGAAGTTACTGATCAAACAAAAGAATCAGGTTTTAACTCAGAATCCCAAGATACAATGGCTCAATCTGATAACAGAAGGAGAAGAATGCCTAAACGAACTGCGTTTTCTGATTCAGATTCTGAAAGTGATGCTGACCTATCAATGGCTGATATGGTCAAACTTGTGGAGGAGAAAGAAGGACTCTTGGAGTTAAAGCAAAAGGAGATTGAACAAATGCAGGACAAAGTTGTTCGAACTCTTGCAGAAATGGAGAATGTTATGGCCAGAACAAGACGTGAAGCAGAGAACTCAAAAAAATTTGCCATACAAGTATTGTTGGTTTCATAATGACCACTTGATTTCTGTTATATTTGGAGTTCACAGAAAATGATAGTAATTATTTGTCATTGTGTTACAGAATTTTGCGAAGGGCCTACTAGATGTTGCAGACAATTTAGGAAGGGCTTCTACTCATGTTAAAGGCAGTTTCTCTAAGGTTGATGAATCCAAAGACACTGGTGGAGCTGTACCACTCCTAAAAACACTCCTAGAAGGAGTTGAAATGACTGAGAAACAGCTTGGAGAGGTAAACTTTTTGTTATTTCACCAAAAGACATAAGTTAGTTTCACAGCTTCCTATGGTATTGGAAATTCTCATGAAGTCAAGTTGTTAGAGTTTGTTCTTATACTTGAATTTCTAGGTTCGATTTCCACATTTGTTCTTTGGTAAAGGGCCAAATTGGCAAACTGAATTCACTTCAACTATGGCACATCATCTGAAAAATTATTATGCAAAGTTGTGTGCATAGTTAATGTTGCAAGTTGTAATCTCTTCTGTCACTCTGACAGTGATTCGGCATCTACATGTGTTCTATAATATATTAAATTTGTAACTAACCAGTTATAAATGATTTTGCTTTCAGGTATTTAGAAAGTTTGGAGTGGAAAAATTCGATCCTACAAATGAACCTTTTGATCCACACAGGCACAATGCAGTATTCCAAGTACCAGATAATTCCAAGCCTCCTGGCACAGTTGCTCATGTTTTGAAGGTATTATTTTCTAATCCATTTTTATTGAAACTGTTCCATTTGTGCTTTTGAACTGCAAACACACCTCTAAAGAGCTTTTGTGTTGCAAAACCAAACTTTGTAACCGCAAAGCTTGGATTTCATCTTGTTTAGCATTGAGGTTGCAGTGCAAACAAGCTTTTCAGTCAAAAGCACTTTTAGACCTCAATGGTAAACAAGGCCTTGGTCATAGTTCATTAAGTTACTGATGAAGTGTTTGTTTCTCTCCTTATTACAGGCAGGATACATGCTCTATGATCGAGTTATTCGACCAGCTGAGGTTGGTGTTACTCAAGAGCTGGATAACAATGCAGCTGAGAATAACACAGGTGACAAAGGCTCTGATGCTTGATGATAGGCCTGTTAGAGTCATGGCAAATTTTCAAAAACTTTGCCTGTGTGATAAGAACTATATGCATATGAGGTTTTCATGTTAAGCTTAGTCTTTGAAAACTTTTTTCTCTTTTTATGTTTAGAGTCATCTTCAGTTCCATCGAGCTAACAGCTCATTGGTTGTCCTGCATTGTTTTTGGAAGCCAGTTATTTTAACTCTATTCAACCCAAATATTCGATATAATGCTATGCAAACAGAGCAAAGAAAATAGTTCTCATTGATCACCCTGCCATCTTAAAGCATAATCCACATGATGAATGGAGATATCTTAGGGCTCTATTCTATGTGTAATACCTGCAATGACATAGGAAAACGGTAGTATTGACGGTATGAGCTCATTTTTTTTTTTTGTACAAAGAAGTCGTAACTTGAGAATAGAATAAAAGTTTTTAAGTGTTGAAATTCGAGCCTTTGATCTATTAGATGCCATACATATGGTGCATATGATGCAAAGGACTACTAAGGCTAGAATATACATATGATCTATTGCTATGGGGTGACCAAATCTGTGGATTCTTGTTGTTACTTGAACTCTTTCCCTTGAACTAATTACATGTCAAGCCATTGTCCAAAATCCCACCGAGCTTGCTGCCTTTTCCTGACCTTCCTTCTCACCCACAGAGTCATGGCTGCCATCATAACCTTTCAAACACAAACCTCAGTCAAAATTACCCATGCTTGAATCCTGCAAAATACAAAGATCTCTGTTATATTCAGTCTTGGGAGGGAATTAAATGCTTCATTTTCAACTTTGAGCAACATGTCATCCAAATATTTAAAAAAAAAATGCAATGAAAGAGATTTAACCATAGGGATATCAATTTAAGGCTGTGAGTCAGCTCCATTTAGGATTAACCAAAACTAGGACTTGATATCCCTAAACCTAAACTCAATAAAAATATGTGAATTTTAGTATTTTATACGAATATATTGATACTAATAACATTTAGATAGTTTGATTTCGTTATGTTAATTGAGGTCTTAAATAGGAGATTTTTGTAATTTTGGATGAATGTACATAAAGACAAAAGTCATGTGAGGGGTTTGGTTGGTTCAATGTACCCAAAATAAAAAACCCCATATAATTCTGTCTAGGCCACATGAAGCAAGGCCTTTTGGTCTTCTTCTCATTGGTCTCCTTTTATCATATCGATTTTTGAGATATAACATAATTACTGGTGAAAAAAAAAATGAAAATCTATCCCACATGTTTTGAGTCAATCATTTGGTCAAATATTCAAATATAAAATTAA